AATAGAAATAGTAATAAAAGAGATGAATTAATATATTTTAACAACAGTATCATATGAAATTACCTAGTTATGGTTAACATTTAACAGGTAAACAAATAATCGCAGACTACCGCACGGGTGTTTATTTGGTTAACAATATGGATATATATATATATTTACGTATAGGTTTACGCATAAATTATTTGTTACATTATTGTTATTATTATATTTTAATATCATTATTTATTTAAATACGACAATAAAGTATGCGTGTGTTTTTATATACAAGGTATCCCAAATTATATGTAACACTAAATAAACCAGTCCAGTAACATTAGACTGAAATAAAGTCTTCGGAAGGTGATGGGGAGTACCGATATACACACTCCGGGATAATCGTCATTGTTTTAATCTTATCAGTGTAAAATTAAAATTATCTTTTTTTGAATATCAACCCCTATGTTTGTCATCACATATCGTTGGATCGGTTTTTTCTAAATCATTTTGATTCATTCACCACAGAACTGAAACTAAACTGATCGAACTACAGCTATTTCAAATTTGAATATAATTGGATTTTTTCGACTGGAAGTTAGAATAGAGAGTAATCGAGGGAATTTCGAAATCATCTCGGAGTGTGTACTTCGGTACTCCCCATAATTTTCCGAAAATCCCATTTAAATCAATGGTCATCGGGCTGAGATATTTAGTGGTGCATATAAGACGTGAAATACTGTATATTATTATCTATTTTATATAATTACAGGGTATACAAATACAATTAAGTTAAATAATAGTATAGTAATTAGATGTTAGTCGAATGAATATAAATTGTGAGTATTTGTTTTTAACGTAAAAACACGATTGAGTATAGAATATTTTATGTGAATCGGCCACATTTACGTTGCCGAAAAATGTTTGTAATTTATTATTTTCACGTGTTATTACACCAATTATTATGATACCAAAATTAAACAAACTGCAAACTGTGAACCGAACCCTGTAGTTTTATCGACAATGTTATCGATAGAAATACATATTAGTTTTATCCGTTATATATACTGACCGTTATTGACGGTTATTTATTTATTTGTTTATTTAAATGGGTAAGCCTGATAAAATATATAACACAAGATCGCATAATATCAAATATTATTAAATTAGTAATACATGGTAACTAGTGAAGAATACATCATGAACTGAATAACAATTTATTACGATACACATTGAACGAATATATATATATATGTATTATAGTTACAGAATATGTCGACAATATGTAAATCAAATTCTTTTTTTATAAAGCCTGATTGCTAAATATTTTTTTTCATTTAATTCAACGTAAGTATCTATTGACACTTGACTAAAATTATATCTATTAGCCTCTGATCTATATAAACTATTATTGTATTATTTAGNCAAATATTATTAAATTAGTAATACATGGTAACTAGTGAAGAATACATCATGAACTGAATAGAAATTTATTACGGTACACATTGATCGAATATATATGTATTATAGTTACAGAATATGTCGACAATATAGTAGATCAGTAAATAATTCAAAATTAATATAGAAATAATTCAGTTTATGTATTGAGTATTCGATCACCTATTATAGCCGTGTCACATATAGCGTTAAAAAAAAATGTCAATTTATATTTTTCAATATAGTTATAAATATTATAGCAGTTATTTTATCGAAACTAGGTAAAAAATTGACCCTAGTAAATTTATACAAATATGGGTTGATTATTGATGAACGAAAACAGATAATCTTTTGATATGGAAGCGTACCATTAATAAATATTTAGCGATCATATTCTTAAATTAAGATAGACGCGTAATGTGATTGAAACTTCTGGATAACGCAATCACATTCAAAATTCAACTAAGAAAATAGAGACACATATTTTGAGAGAAAATCAAAAAAAAAAAAAAAAAAAAAATGAAACAGTTTCAGCGTCTTGATACGGGCATGACTATCCTTAAGATTTGCAAGATCCAAGGCGAAATATTAAATGTTTTCATTTTTAATTACATTGAAATTTCCATTTTTTTATTTTCTAAACACGATGCCTCCAAATTTTAGTAAAAACATAAGACCTCTAAAGGACAACTGTGGATAAATGATGAAGAGCGGGCGCGCAAATTCATAGAACTGTATCATTAGCACTACCATATTTACCAGCCAAATAATGTTCACCCGTATTGCTTAAGTAAAATAGCGTCATGCGATTGGTTAATGGGATGTTAAAATCAACCCCTCTCGAATCACTTCTGGTAAATCATAACACCTCCCATTATTAGAAAAAGCTGTGCTCTGGTCAAAATGATTACTAAACTAGATATATTGTAGGATTCGATGTTATTTCAGATGCCAATCAAAATCCTATTGATATACCTTAAATCAAGAGACCCACCCTAAGTACCGGATCAACAGCTTATAGAAATAAGTTTTAATGTACCCAAATAATGGTTTACCTTATGAATCAATTCGATAACCAAAAACGGCAAACGATTTAGTGTCCGGGCTCAATCAGAATTAAATAAATAAATATACGCTTAATATATTTAATGTCTTTATACTTCCTAATCTCGCCAAGAATAGGTAACTTTATACCAGCATCAGAAAAGGTCACAGGGTATTTGATGCACAAGCGAAAACTTCAAGACGGATCTGAATGCGATTGCGATAGCAAAATCTAGACAGTGGAACTATAATGTCGAAGAAAAAATTGCATACGATGGATATTGTGGTGTTAACCGCGAATTCCTTGAATAGATTGTTAACATAGACATTAGTTTATAAATGAATTATATAAATAAGGACATATTTTTATTTTATGTTTCTTTATTTTAACATATTTTATTTCTTTAACTATTATAAAACGAAAATAATCATACATAGTACCTATAATCTATAGGATGTTTCAGTGAAAACCCGATGTAGATAATATTATGTTCAATTTTACCAAAAAATAAATAGTTTTTACAGTTAGACTTTATTTTGGTTTGAAAAATAAAACAGCGTTTTCTATGAACTGCCTTAAACGTTATCGTCTAACATTTATAATGGTATTTCACAAATAACACAAACTAAAATATCTTCTATAGGTTATAGCTTTATATACTAATATCCACTTAAAAAATAAAAATTCTTTCGATGTTTACGTTTAAATTTAATAGTAAGTTTAATTGTATTATCGGTTTAAATATGTAAATCAAATTCTTTTTTTATAAAGCCTGATTGCTAAATATTTTTTTTCATTTAATTCAACGTAAGTATCTATTGACACTTGACTAAAATTATATCTATTAGCCTCTGATCTATATAAACTATTATTGTATTATTTAGCTAAACCGTTGAATTTGTGCAAAATATCATATTAATATAGAGTATATTTGTACGAGCGTTGATATGTAATATAATAATATAAATCAGAGTTACACGAAATAATTCGTTAAAAAAAAAAAAAAAAATGTGACGATAAACTGTAATATATTAGAACAATGAACGCGAGTGTTGGCTGTTGTCAATAAAATGCTGCATGTGAAAATAATAAAAGAAGTCGTATTTTTTATGATATATACATAATTTGTAAAAGAATTACTGTTTTATTGACTATAAAATACGGTTTGGCATTCAAATGTTTAAAAGCCGAATAAACCTACTACGCACTGTGGGTAGGCTACTAGTGTAGGTGAAGAATAGTTGCAGGATTGGTATAAGATAAATGAGATTTATGGTTTATACAGGAGAAGGACTCCGCTCAGAATGGTTTTTTCGTAAGTAATGGTTTATCGTTGCTTATATGTGTATATAAAATTATCTATAACAGTGGCTGCACCCGTCTCCATTGTCCTAGGATGTATTTTTTCAAATATATAAATAAAAAATAAAGATCTCTAAAGTAGCACTTTAGTGATGTTACATTTATTTTAACACCAATTCAATTTTTTAGATCAATAAGAAAATACAAATTATTATAATATCGCGCACACATTGTACACTGCCTCGGTTTTTTTGTAACAACAGCACACTTACGCGTGAACAATGCGTTTTTATTACACTTATTTATTTTTTTCTTCAAAACCATTTGTTAGCGAAATTTTCCGAGTAAAGGAAATATATTATAGCTTAAGCCCCGGACTGACGTTAGATATTTCTTGTATACGTATAAATATCGCACGAGTGTTTAACTTTATAATATGAATGATGTTTTCCCTTTTCCTCCCCAATGATAATAAAAAAAAAAAACAACAATCAATATCTAGGTATATAAAATCACGTACAGCCGTAATATATTATTAAACCCAATGACTTCTATTACATTATCGATTTATTAATTTAAGCCAACTCCAGTGTTATAATATCTACGTTATCGACTTCATAGACGTACTATATTATAGTAATTCGAGTAATAGATACTAATAAACACAATATATTATAATAAATCTGTCGTTTTTGGACATATAATTTAACTAATCATTTAGCAAACCTCTTATTTTTTTTTTTTTTTTCAAAACTAATCAATTTGGGCGGGGACCATCTCTTACACAGGATGTTTTGAGCGATAAATCTTACGGTCCAATTTACGTAGAGGTCATAAAATATATACACAGTCGGCACGTCATAGCCAAATATCTAAAATTTAATTTTTAAAGGGTGATTCACACTGGGGTTGATGGTATTTTTTTCCGTAAAAATTGAATTTTTTTTTTTTTGGTTGATTTATGGGTTTCTGTTAAAAATTACACCAAATTCTTAAATTTTATCCCCGTCGGAACGATTATTCGCCCACAAAATCGTACGTACTCCCAGAAAATAGTTATTGTACAAAATGCCAAATATGTAAACGCGGTTAAAACACAATAATTTATTTTCCAGACCAATGATAATGTATGCATGGGAGACATGGCTCACGACCCGAGTAGATGAAAATAGACTAGCTATCATTGATAGAAAATTCCTCAGAAAAATTTACGGACTAAAAAGTAACGAAGATTTACGAAATAATGCCTTATAGAGAATTGCAGGAACTATTCGGAAAACCAAACATAATAGCGGAAATACGAGACAAGCGACTGAGTTGGCTGAGACCTATGCTTAAGTCAATAAAAAATGATGTATCAAACTGGATTCCTCAGGGAGAAAGGCCTATTAGAAGACCGAAACAGAGATGTATGGCCCAAAGAAAAAACGAACCAAACCAACTTAGGATAGTTAATATTACTGAAGTAGCTCTGAACAGAGATAAGTGGAAAGAGATTTGTTTTGCAGCAATAGGCCTCAATGGCCTTTGATGCTGGAAAAAGAAGTAGAAGATATATATTTATATTTATTTGTGTTACCCAACAAAACAAAACAGCCGAAAATCATATCATATCGTCTGTTAAATTCGACGCTTCGAGAAAACCGTGATTAGAATCATGTACCTACCTATTAATCAATATCGTATATTCGTAAATTAAATCAGTTTGACACGTTTAAAGAAGTTATATTATGTATAAGGTGTATAGGTATATTGTATTTTTTTTTTTTATTATTATTATTATTATTTTGTGTGTGTCTGTTGGCTATGGTACATTTATAATATTATATAAGATGTCGGTAAACGCGAAAATTATTATTTCAACGTATTTGTTGCCAGTTAATTAATGTAATAATATCGCGTTGTATAGGGATAGTCTGAACGTGCAGTGTAATGCAATAATATTATCTAAACATAAAATTTAAATAGGTTGCGTTAAGTCAACAGCGAAAATTAACCGAGACCGCAACATTTATTAATAGTCCAAATATGATAATATTCAGCGTGGTAAGCAGCGTAAGTTTTAAGTAAGTCGCATCAATTGCGACGCAGTTGAACTTGGAAAACAAAATATTAATTTAACTCAATATTATTATATAGTTTTGGTATTCTACACTCACGACCGCCGTCGGGTAATACGCGAGAATACCACCGCCGCCGCCGGGGTGAAGTAGATTTCGTTGTTTTCGTGTGTAGACAATATTAATATATACTTGGGTAAATACATACTGTCTAATAATTTTTCTTTCGTAGTGTGTACTAGTACATTCTAGATTTTGAGTGTACGTAGCGAAAAAGGGCGTAAGTTGGTTGTTTTTTTTTTTTTTTTCGGTGGTAAAATGTGTGTACAGGCATTTTTCTATCTATAAAAATGTTTCGATTATTCACGTTGTACACCGCCTTCGATCAAAAGTTTTTCTAAAAAATATAAAAAAAAAAACCGACAGTAAAATATTATGACGATACATCGGTTATATTTTTTATTGATTTCTGGTTTCAGGGAGAAAAATCCACGACTAATACGAAATTGTTTGAAACTAAAATATTCATTTAATTTGTTCTGTGCGTTTTGAAAATTGAACTTTATCGTTAACATTATTATTTCTTGGTTTATAAATTTGTATTTTTCACCGCACAAAACGCAGCGCACACTAATACATACAATAATAATAATGTATAATATTATGTATGTTCAGAATGCGCCGTGCCAAAATACACTTTTTAAGTTTACAGGATAAAATATTATTTTTAATGTCGTTCGTATTATTATACAATAAGTCCATACACTTTATTTATTTCATTTATTTCCCGCTTTCATAATATATCACAAATTGCAACGAGCCACTTGTGTTTTTGTGCGCACACATAAATCAAGTTTTTGATTTATTATGTTAAGTTGGTTCTCTCGTTTTCTTGTATTATATATACCAGTATTGTAATTGTTTGAACATATTATTATGCGCGCGTGCCATAAGGTCGGACTTTTTATAAATTGAATCTAGGTAGCGAAACAAACATCACGAATTATGTAAAAAGTTCATACTTGTTATGCCGATCGACCGATCCGCGCAATTATGCCGTTCCGGTCCAAAGATTTATTACGTTTGTTTTTTTTTTTTTTTTTTCTATCGTAAACGATATTTATATTGTAAACGACGTGTTGATCATTATAATATTTGATTATCACATGACGTGATAGTTCGTCGGTAGTAGTCTAATAGTCGTTTTTCCGTATGCTCTCAATAATAATAATAATAATAGTAAGGAAAAAATTTCGCTCAGCACCGCGTTTCCTTGATTTATTGTTAAGACTTCTTGCGTACAGATTTCAATTAAACGACCCTTTATACAGTAAGACCTATGAATAGCGGACACCCTCGGTCGCCGAATATTCGTCCGCTATTTGGAGGTGCCCGTTGTTCAGAGGGGTACGTTTTTGATATTCATCAAGGATAATGTGTAGAATGAATACATTACACTTGCGCTACGTTGAATTAAATTATGTTTTTATAGAAATGTAATATAAAATATAAATGCAATTATGTGGATTTAATGATATAATAATTTTAATAGTTTTGAATAATATGACGTATTAATAATAATAATTGTATTTGTGGCGGGTAGGTCGAGGTAGTCTGGTCCTTCTTGTTGGGGGTTGATCGTAGGGCTAACAACCCTACATCATAAAACAAAAAAACGTTAAGAAACCACAAAACAAGCCTCGGAATTGGAACAAAACTGGACAACGACTGGAAACGGAAACTGGCATCAAAATTGGTACTTGGAACGTTAGAACGCTTAATAAACCTGGGACGTTACAGTGTATGCTGAACGCCATTAAAAATTATAATATTTCTATATAAGCCCTACAAGAAATGATATGGCCTGGAAAAGGAAGTCTCAGAAAGGATGATAAAACTATTTTTTATAGTGGAAATAGAGATGGAAAGTTCGAAAACGGAGTAGGATTTGTAGTAAGCGAGAATATATTACCATATGTTAAAGATTTCCAGGCAATAAATGAGCGTATGTGCTACATACGGATAACTGGATGCATATTTGATCTAATAATTATAAATTGTCACGCACCTACTGAAGACAAGAAGGAAGATGATATCAAAGAAGATTTTTTATGAAGAACTTGACAGGATATATGATATAACATCTAATTATTCTGTTAAAATAGTTATTAGGGACTTAAATGCGAAAGTAGGTAAGGAGGAGTTATATAGACCAACGATTGGCAGAGATAGTCTCCATGACACAAGCAACGACAACGGTACCCGTCTAATTAATTTCTGCATGACAAATGGAATGGTTTAAGTAGTACATATTTCCCTAGAAAGAATATCCATAAACAGACATGAGTAGCCCCAAACCAAGTGGTAAAAAATCAAATAGATCATATAATGATTCAAAATAGACACAAAGGATGTATACAAAACATTAGAACCTTAAGGGGTGCTGATGCAGATTTGATCATTATTTAGTCATTGCAAAATTTATGACTAGACTATCGATGCATTTGAGAGAAAATAAAGGAAATCTATTAAAAAAATTTTGTACTGAAAAGTTCGCGGAAGAACGTGTCTCGAATGAATTCGCTCATACAACGCACCATGAAATGCTAAGGCTAAATAATGAAAATAATGATGAGAATATAGAACATATATGGAAAAAAATAAAGACGACAGTGATAAATAGTGCAAAAAACTGCCTAGGAGTAAGAAAAAATAGTAAAAAGAAAAACTGGTTTAATGAAAAATGTAAAGAAATCGTAGACAGAAGTAATAAACTAAGAGAAAAAGCTTTAAGAAATCCGACAGATGAAAATTTAGAGCGATACAATGCGAGCAAAATAGAAACTAACAAAACGCTCAGGAAAGAAAAAAGACAAGAAGAAAAGAGAAAAATTGAAGAAATTGAAAAGAACAGATNAGACCATCTGATGCGACCTACATACAATATAGTACGGCAGAGCCAAGTATTAGTAATCATCTAAAGTATTAGAAAGTAATGTAGTAGCAGAATTAGTAAAAAATAGTGGAGAAACTCTGAAAAACGAAATATGGAAAATGATCAATCTTATTTGGGAAAAAGAAATAATTCCTGAAGAGTGGAATTTGTCGATATTATGCCCAGTTTTTAAAAAAGGAGACATACTGGACACAAAAAACTATAGAGGAATTTCTTTATTGGATACATGCTATAAGGTATTGTATGCAATTCTCTTAGAACGGATAACTCCATACGCTGAAGAGATTATAGGACGGTACCAATGTGGATTTAGAAAAGGAAAGTCAATTACAGATCAAATATTTATCTTGAGACCAGTAATGGAGAAACATTATGAATTCGACAAAGACCTATACATGGTATTCGTCGACTATAAACAGGCGTACGGTAGTATAAATAGGGAAGAGTTATGGAACACATTGACCTACTTCGATATATCGAAAATATATATTAGTATGGTAAAACTGTGTAATAAGAAAACAGCATGCAAAGTGAANAAAAGGAAGGTCAACTACAGATCAAATATTTATCTTGAGACAAGTAATGGAGAAACATTATGAATTCGACAAAGACCTATACATGGTATTCGTCGACTATAAACAGGCATACGATAGTATAAATAGGTAAGAGTTATGGGACACATTGACCTACTTCGGTATACCGAAAAAATTGTGAATTGAAAGAAAGCTGTGAAGAGGGACATTCAATTGTTGGATGTGAATGCGTCTGTTGAATTAGCACTCAACAGAGAATGGTGGAGAGACTTTCTTGTGGCAGCTCAGGTACTTCAAGGACCGTTAAGCTGAAGAAAGAAAGAAGAATTGTATTTGTGGTAATGCCTAGTATAATACATTATTAACACGCACATATTATGAGGATGGACAACTGACCAACAAAACAAACGAAACGCTGGCAGTCAAGACATAATTTTCGTCATAATCGTCACTAATCGTCGTATTCTTTTCATATCGTTTGATAGCGAGTTCATTATCGTTAAACCCAATGCCGTCGCCGTTTTGTCATTGTATTTAATAATAATTCACTGTAATCGATATAAGTGTCCGTTATTCGTAATCTTATCGAGTTCGTTATAGTTATTACATTATTACGAGATTACATACTACTAATACGAATGCGTTTTGGTACCGTCGTTTTGTCAATATTTTTATATTAAGATTAAAAAAATGTCCGCTATTCGGAGGTTTGAAAAGTAGTGAACATGTCTTCGTTGCCGAAAAACCGTTCGCTTTTTGGAGGTGGTCACTATTGAGAGGTGTTCGTTAGAGGAGGTTTTACTGTTTATCATTCTATCACAATTTTCTATCCATAACAGTGGCACTTAATATCAGGTAATTTTTTTTTACACTCACTAAGCTTATGATTAGGACTAGGGATTTTCTATAGGCACTGGACTTATAGCAGACCAAGTTAGAAATTCTTACTATAGAATGGAGATTTTAAAAATCGAACATTTAAAATGCACATTTTGCATATTTTGTTAATTTTAGAGAAAAGTGTATATTTTATCGATTTTCATTGATTTTCGCATATTTTTAATCATATTATGCATATTCAAATGTTGTTTAAAAAAAAGGGTTTTTTTTCTTTCTTCACCGGTGTATTTTAAATAATATTGAATATAAAACCCAATATTATTTAACGTTAAATGGTTTTTTCTTATCGTCTCAGTCTATTAATAATTTGACAATGGTGTGATTTACATTTAATCTTTGCCATTTGTGTGCATATTAATAATAAAAATATATATTTTTTAATTATAATCTTTGAATAATTTTTTGCATATTTACCATTATTTTGTGTATATTTTACAATTTGTTCGTGTATATTTTGCCTTTTTTTCTTCCTGTATAACTCCTGAGTCCTACTTACGATGAATCTCGTGTTAAATTGCCAATCATTTTGGCTAGGTTACAAAAATTTTCTCACCTTAAAACCAAATAAAAACTGACAAATTTTAAAAATTTTAAATGGCTCAAGTAAATAGCTGAAAAATTGTCAGAATGATTTTTAAATATTATTCTTTATAGAAAGCGCTAAAATTTGGTAAACAATCAGATTTCTACGATTATTTTTAAGCAAATTACAACAATTAAATCCGGGTTTCACATAACATTTTATAAAATCTAACGAAATGATAATATAGAAATTTAATAGGAAACTCGCTTAAAAATCTACCATATTTGTGGATTTTTAGTCAATTTGATGTTAAATGATACCGCCATTTTTTATTTAGTTTAAAATAAATTAAAAATATTATACGTTAAATTGTCAAATTCTTATAGATAAGAATATATTATCGTTTTATATCCTATACTAATGGAAATGGTTTCAAAAATTTATAAATAATAGCTTCAATGTAAATAATACAATTTCATACAGACTTTTGAACTCATCGCCCACACAATTCATTAATGCAGAGCTATAATTATTATATTTAGCCATTTAGATATCTGATTTACTTTGTTTGATTTGAATTATTAAGAATATATCGCATACTAATCCAGATTAATGTTTTCAAATTGTACGATATTTTATTAAAACTGTCGTATTAAAAATTATAGGAATTAAGTTTTGTTTTTTTACTTGTTTTGTAAAATTAAATTTCCTGTATAATTCAAATATGCGTAGGTGTATTTCTAAATTTACTGTCAGATGATATCGGTTTTCAATGAATGGTTTAAAAAAATGTTATTTTTTTTTTTATTAACTATAAAATATCTTTATTAATTTTAATAACAATTATTTTTTTTTAAAACGGTGGTTTAATTTCGACTTTTAGATGGATAAAAAAATGTTTAAGAAAAAAAGGTAGGGTAGGTACAGCTTTTAAATGGACCATTTTGGTAGGCGGGAATCCTTGGAGGAAGGATATACAATAAATCACGCCGAACAAACAGACGATTCTGAGCGAAATTAAGTTAAAACGTTTTGATAAATAATAGTTGAAAATCTCGTATTTTTTCGTCTCAAATAATGGAATTTTTTTTAGTTTTACGAATTTGTTATCTAGAATCTAAAAACCGTTACAAGTATGATTAGCTTAAACGTAAAGAAATAAAATGTCGGATATCAGCTTTTAAATGAAATGTACACATGTATCTATTTGTAGTAAATATATGGTCTTCATAGTTTGAAATTACACAAGTATCGTTGTATAATAATATTCTAATGCTCCACGTAATAATTGGCCTTATGCTTCAATCGATAAATTTAAATAACATTTATTTAGTATTTTTCAAACAGATGATAAGAGTGGATCTAAAATTATTAGTAATACATGCAATATATCTTTATTTGTAGCTGACCGACTAATTGTTCAGCTATAAAGTTGAACGTGTAACTGAGCAGTTTCCAACTGCAGTTTTTTTCCAATGAGATGTAAGAATACCAGGCCGGATTGTTTAATTAAATTATAAATGTATTATTTAAGATTTCATGAGTCATTTCCAAGTTAACATATGTATGTGATTTATCACTTATGGAGTTTAAGTTTCATTATAATTTTATAATCTTATAAAAAAACATTAACATGTGTTTACAGGTAATTGTTGACTTTTCTAAATGAGACAACAATAATATAACAATGTTAAATAATTATAATTATTTCTGTTTAATAATATCGCGTTTTATTAATTTGATTTACCATTAATTTTTTTTTTTTTTTTTTTTTTATGAAGACAAACATTAATTAAGTTAAATAAAACCCGGTTTTTCCACCGAAACAAGAAAAAAGCACAAATATATTTGAAAAGACTACATTTAAACTATAGAGTGTATGTGTTTATATAGTAACAGTTGGTAAAAGTTTTGAGAAAATAACTCGAATATGATAAAACTCTGTTTTTTTTTTTTTTAAATATAATATTTATTATTTTATAATTCAATTACCTAATATACTTAGACTGCTGGCCTAATCAAGGTTGAATGCGTACACATATTAGAAATATATACGTATTAAAGTATTAACGTTGAACTAAGTGCATACGATTAGTAATATTTAGGTTAGCGTTATTCTGTTTCAAATGAATATAATACGGTTTTCAGTTTTCCTGCGTTTATTAATATATTTATCACACTGCAGTGCGTTATATTGATATGC